TGCACACGAGAGACTCTCAAAGCACTGGCAGGAAAGGACTCAGCCAGTAGCAGGGCTCCCACACCTGCCGGCTGAGTCACGCTGCTTCTTGTGCCTTTCCTCATTCCTACTCAGCACACCAGTGTGTGCGTGAGGGAGCGTCAATAAACGGACCAAGAGGAAACCATCCCACCTCCAAAGATGAAGGAGCCGGGCAGGAGAGCAGCTGCTTCCCTGCCTCAGTTGTCCTGGGCTACAAGGCCTGGTTGCTGGGGTGGTACACATACTGCTATTCGAGTTGTAATTGGGCTGAGGCTTAAATACTTTTTTAAAAAACATTTTCTTTATTTTGGGGTGGGCCCCTGGTATGAGGATGGAGATCAATGGACAACTTGCAGGAGTCAGCTCTCTCCTTCTACCTGGGTCCAGAGATCGAGCTCAGATCATCAGGTTTGGCACCAATCATCTTTTCCCACTGAGCCACATGGTCATTGGCAGGGGATTTTTTTCTCTCAACTGAAAACATGAGCAAAGTTGAAGCTCCCCATGATTACCCCTCTGAAGCAGAAAATGAAGATCTGGAAGGTCAGCTCAGTCAGTATGTGCTTACCATACAAACATGAGTTCAACCCCCAGAACCCAAGCACGGTGCACATGCTTACAACCCCAGCGCAGATGAGGCAGAGGCATCTCCGTTCAGACTCCTCTCTTCTTTCTGTACACCAGAGAGAGATTTTTCTCTCTTCCTTTATGATGAAGAGTTTTACTGAAATGTGCTGAAGACACCCCTTATCCTTTAGTGCTCCTCCCCAGCCCTAAGCAGTGACCTTTACTGCCCGTGACTATCTTCATAGAGACACTTTCAAGTGCGCCCCCCAGTCTGTCCTGTCACTGACACTTCAGCTGCCTGCTTCATCTCTCTACCTGGATCCCAGAATGTGCCCTCACATGATTCAACAGGGCTCTTGATTTTCCCTCCAGATGAGCTCTCTTTGGGGTTTCCCAACTCCATAAATGCTACCATCTCCCAGCTACTGAGGAATCAATATTTTTTTCCATTCTCCCCCTCAAGCAAATCTGCCCTCACTCCAAAATATACAGAAAGTCTAAAAAAGCAGAGACTGAGCACACAGATCCCCTTCTTGATACACTAACTGATCATTAGCTCTCAGTTGACCTCCTCCTTTACCACTCCCTTTTTGAGTTGTAAAAGAAAGCCTGGTGGTCATTGCCTGAGGAAAACTCTTATCTGCCTTTATGACCTTGTAAGAATTTAAGCCTGGTGACCTTGCTCTGCCAGAGGATTGCTATTGCTTATGTTTTATAACTAAATACCTCAGAGGTTTGAGGGAACTGACAGGTATAAGGAGAGAGGAGGATTTTTGAAGAGAGAACTTGAGGACGAGACAGAGAAGAGACAAGAGAACAGAAGAACTAGATGGGTAAGAACTAGAGAGAAATGAACTAGATGGGAAAGAACTAGATTGAAGGGCTAGAAGAGAATTCCAGAGAAACAAGATGGAAGATGAGGAAGAGTTAGATGGGGAAGAACAAGGGAGAGAGAAGGAGATGGGGAGGAGCTGAGATGGGAAAGAACTTGATGGATGAGAACCTAGATGGGGCAGAACCAAGATGAAGGAATTAAGATAGAACTTAGAGGGGATGGCAAATAGATGTAGAGACAAATCAGGCAAGAAAGGAGCTAGGCATGAGAGCAGAATAGAAGCTGTGTAGAGGGAGAACTACTCAGGATAATAAAGTGTGTAAACTAAAGAGTTTCATGTATGTAGACTCCTTTCTTTTCATCAAAGATTAAATTATCAGCTGGTTGCAGATTCTTCCTGGACCCTGGGAGGGGACTGTCGAGGGGCTGGGCCTCCTCAGTCTTTGTTAAGGGTCCAAATCCCACTCGTCCAAGCCACTTCTGTTTCCAGTCCCGCATCCAGCTTGGTCTCATTG